ACTGAAGGAGCATTGGTTAACAGCAGTGACCGCAGAGCAGCAGCGGTAACAGTAGATGAACAGCAATAAGAGCAGAACGAGAAACAACGTTGACCAGCAGCAGCAGAAATCAGCCGATATCAAGCAGTTACAGAAGCCCAACTATTCTTACCATTACCTGTGCACCGCGATATAATATTAATAAACTATACCTAAAAAACAACTTACATTCATGCATGGTGCGACTCAACTATAGTTCAAGCTTGGCTTTCACAGCAACCATCGAAGCTTAAAACATTTGTTGCAAACAGAATATCAGAAATACTCGATGCAATACCACGCAATGCATGGCATCATGTAAATACAAAGGAAAATTCCGCTGACTGCGTCACACGAGGCATGTTCGCTGCAGAGCTGCTCAATTTCGACTTGTGGTGGATGGGACCTTCATGGCTGCAAGATCCAGAAAATCTCGCGGTAAAGCTGAGATCTAAAAAATTCTATTCTAAACTATGGTAAAGAAGAAGTGTAGACGACCGCATTGACAACTAAGGAGGTCGACTCATTTTCACCGCTTGAAGCCCAGATGCAGCGTGTCTCGTCGTGGACAAAACTGGTTCGCCTTGTAGCTTACGTCTTGCGCTTCTTCCAAAGGGCCCTGGTCCTAAATCAGGCATGTTGGCAAGTAGCAAAATGCTGGCATTTGAGGAGATCCAGGCGGCTCGCATTCTTTGCCTACAAACGGCTCAGGAATGTTTCAAGGAGGATCGAAATCTACTGCAGGAGAACAAGCCACTTCGGAGCCGCTCTCAGCTGCTCAAGCTTTCACCGATAATATGCAAGAATGGCCTCCTACGAGTTTGGGGACTGCTGAGCAATTCTCAATTACCAGCTGATGTCAAACAGGGCGGCCCGGGATGTTGATGAACGCATTGCAGCCGATATAGAATTTCTTTAATTTCTTTTTGTATTTTTGAACACTAAATTTTCCCACATTGGTTTGGTATTTTTGGATCGCGCTGCGTCGCACTTTTGAGATTTTTTAGTGTTAAGAGTTAAGTGTTAAGACTGCAGCAAAACATAATGGAAAATGAAGCTGCGTAAAGAATAATTTTGTGTTCCGTGAATATCGAAGTGTTTTATTCGTCACCATCAAATGAAAAGAAAGGAAAAGTAGGAACCAGGTGTTCACGAAAAACCAAAGGATACTTTGGGTGGAGCCAGGGTTTCACGAAAAAAAACTTTTGGCAAATGTGTATTAATTTTGTTTTTTGTTATAACTTCACTTCACCATCCATTCCTATAGGAATTCATTCATCAAGCACGTTCATAAGACTTTTGTTTTTTATGTTTATATGTATATATGTATGTATGTTTTTATATAACTTATCTTAAGATTTTCTTCATCCATGCTGTTATATTTTGGTTTTTCATTCTGATAGAAGGTCCCATTCTTCTGTCAGAAGGTCTTTTCGGCTGCGCCAGTTACGTATCCAGTCGGATTTATGGGAGCGTAATTATTACCGTTATGGAAAATAACACTAGTCAACACGATTTTTCCTCAAGGAACAAAACGAACTTTTTCTTAAAGATTTGGGGCTTAGAAATGGTTTGATGATATTTTTTTTTTTCTATGGCAGAACTTTTTTTTAAAGAATTTTTGAAAACTGGTATTTTTTTTTAAAGGTTTTTTCAGAGGTAACGCTTGTTTTTTTCACATAACTCTAGTATCTTACGTCTGGTTGTAAAGAACTTTGCTATTTTGAAAAGATAATTGACGCAGCTAGAAGTTAATGTCAAACACTTTGTGATTTCAGCTTACCGTCTGGGAAATATAAAGCATTGAAATGCAAAAATGATGATTTTTGTGGGTATTTTTTACGAAATTTTGACTTTAAAAACTCAGGAAAAGTCGAAAAAAAATTATATCTTGTGTTATCTATTTTTTTGTGTATAGGTGCGTTAATTTGGCGTCGTTTAAGGTATCGCTCATTAAGATCTATGGAGACACTTTGGAGCTAAAATTCGTTAACCAAACCTAAAATATGGAAAAAATGAACAAAAAATACCTTTTTGAAGGCGGCGGGCCCAACTGCCAATTGGGAACAAAGGAACGCGATCAGGTACCAAATGTACAACCCTTGCTCGTTTGCTTTGTTCCATTTTTTCCATTTTTTAGGTTTGGTTAACGAATTTTAGCTCCAAAGTCTCTCCATAGATTTTAATGAGCGATACCTTAAACGACGCCAAATTAACGCACCTATACACAAAAAAATAGAGGACACAAGATATAATTTTTTTTCGACTTTTCCTGAGTTTTTAAAGTCAAAATTTCGTTAAAAATACCCCACAAAAATCATCATTTTTGCATTTCAATGCTTTTTATTTCCCAGACGGTAAGCTGAAATCACAAAGTATTTGGGCTCAACTTCTAGCTGTTTTAATTACCTTTTCAAAATAGCAAAGTTCTGTACAACCAGACGTAAGATATTAAAGTTATGTGAAAAAAACTATCGCTACCTCTGAAAAAAGCTTAAAAAAAAAATACCAGACTTCAAAAATTCTTCAAAAAAAAGTTCTGCCATAGAAAAAAAACCATAATTCTTTAAAAAATTTTAAAGCCCCATATCTATCAGAAAAAGTCGGTTTGGATCCTTGAGGAAAAAAAAAGTTCGGTTTTGTCGAGTAGTGTAATAAAGGGTTCCTCTTCCGAAACACAATACATCTATATAGTTTTAGTGTTAAAAGTATTGTGATGGGGTTCTTCCGATGAAATAAGGGGCAAGCACGCGGTTATATAAATAAATGCTTTATTTAATAGCGTGTTAGTTGGCTTCTTATTCTTTAAATACAATGTTCTTAATTTTTCACTCCTCGCTGTTCCTCCAAATTCTCACAATGCCGGTCCCGATCCCGGTATCGATCGCTGGTCCGCGATAGTCTATCGATAGTTCACATTATGTTACTCGATAGCTATTTGGGGTGCTCTCGTGCCATTAGGGCTATTCTTACAACTGTGTTAATACAAATGAAACTTAAACTACTTAACAGCTCGGCCATTCTGACCTTTTGATCGACCCGATCAATTTGATTGCTTAGATTAGTATATATAAGCTGTTTAAGATATCTATATTATTACGGTATATTTTCAGAATCAATTACGACACACCATTTCGCCAGTCTGCCCATTTTCTTAATCAATTTGCTTCTATTATACCTTCGTAGGGTATTTGTGTTACTTGACCATTTTCTATATCTGTAATCACATATCTGTCGTTTGGTAGCGCTTTTTTCACAATATATGGGCCTTTAAATTTTGGTATGAATTTCTTATTTGAACCTATTGTAGTATCGACATTCCGCACCACCACAAAATCCCCAATGTTATGTACTATATGTGTTCTGTGGTTTTTCCTGAATACCTCCTTTGTTTTTTTCTGTACCTTCCGAATTTTTTCACCTGATGTCTTCCGTACTGCATTCAGATTCCGAGCCAAATCCGCTTTATCCTCTAGATATTCACTAAGTGAATCAAATTCGAGTCCTCTTTGATATACGCCGTACAACAATACTGAGGGAGCCTGTCCCGTAGTTGAATGTTCTGAATTATTTACTGCGTACTCGACCTTACCTAACAATTTATACCAATCGGAATGCTGAATGGGATCTGAAATTTTTCCTAACATCGCCTTAATTATTCTATTTATTCGCTCGACCTGACCGTTCGCTTGCGGAGATGCCGTAGCTACCTTAACGTGTTCAATATTGTTCTCCACCAGGAAGGAGCTGAATTCCATTGACGTGAAACAACTTCCTCTATCACTAATCACTCTTCTTGGTCTACCATAATATTCAAAGTATCTGCCCAAACTGGAGTTTACTTCCTTCGTGCTTGTTGAATTCACGGAATAGAGCTTAACGTACTTTGTGAACGCGTCCACTATGACTAATATGTGTTTTTTCTTTGAAAGAATGGCTGGCAAAGGCCCAAAATGGTCTATATGAATTGTGTCGAACGGAATCGGTTTTTTTTTAATATTATGTAGTGTACGATTATTCGCGTGTCTAGGTACTGAATTCATAATACATTTTAGACAATTTTTAATAAAATGTTCCACCTTAGATTCCATGCTCGGAAACCAATAGTGCCTGCTTATGTCCGCTATACACTTAAAAGCTCCCATGTGGCATAGCTTCTCATGTACCGAGCGAATCACATTCTCCTCCATTTCCGATGGGACATAAAGCAAGATTATATCATCTTTTATTTTTCTGTATACTAATCCGTCCTCCAGTGTAAAATTCTTTACTGGGCCAGACTCCAACTCATCTCTTAATTTGGTTATTACTGAATCTCTACTTTGGGTTATCTGTAGCTGAAGATTTATCTCATCCTCGTTTAGCACTGCTATTATCTGATCTGCTTTACCTATATTTTGAATGTCTACGGAAGATTCTAAACACCTGCTCAGCGCATCGACATGCGACATGAATTTCCCACTTCGGTGCACAATAACATATTCATAGTTTTCGAACTCTAACGCCCATCTGGCAATTCTGGCATTGACGCTTTTTTTATTAAGCGTGAGGGCTAATGAGTTACAATCGGTAACGATTTTAAACGGAATACCTTCTAGATATATATGGAATTTTCTTAATGAGTACACAATTGCTAACGTTTCCAGCTCGAAACTATGGTATCTCGACTCGGCTGAAGTTGCGGACTTTGAAAAAAACGCAATTGGGTGGAATTTCCCATCGTCTTGTTTCTGTAATAAAATACCACCGTACCCATGAATACTTGCGTCGCAATGTAATTCGGTCTCTCTACCTGGATTATATAATGCAAGAATTGGCTTTGAAGACAATCTAGAACATAGATCCTGAAATACTTTATGGCATTCGTTTGTAAACTCAAACGTAACACCTGGTCTTGTCAGGTTCTTAATTGGCTTAACTATTGTTGCAAACGCCGGAATAAACCGTCTAAAATATGAAAAGAGTCCCAAGCCTTTTTCGACTTCATACACAGTCTTTGGAACCGGGAGGTGCTTAATTGCTACTGTATGCTCTTCATTAGGCCTTATTCCCTTTTTACTAACTCTGAACCCCAAAAAGTCTATCTCTGTGGCGCAGAACTGACATTTCTTTAGTTTTAGTTCCAGTCGGAATTCCGTCAGCCTTCTTAAGACTCGTCCTAATAAAATTAAATGCTCTTCAAATGTTTTGGTGCCGATTGCAATATCATCCATATAAACCGCAATATTGCCTTCCTTAACCAACGGCTGAAGTACAAAGTCTGTGAACCGTCTAAAACAGGCGGGTGCTCTTTTTAATCCGAACGGCATTTTCACGTACTCGTACTGACCATTTGGTGTCACAAATGCCGTGTACTTAACGGAATCTTTGGCAACCTTAACTTGATGAAATCCACTTTTTAAGTCTAATATACTGAAAAAACGATTGACCTCCAGTTTCTCTAGGCAGTCATCTATGCGCGCCAATGGATAACCATCCCTTTCAATAATTTTATTCAACTGCCTAAAATCTACACATAATCTTTTTTCTCCACTTTTCTTTTTCACTAGCACGGTTGCTGAAGAGTATGGTGATGTACTGGGCCGTATGTGGCCCGCTTCTAACAGTTCATTAACTAATGTTTCTAGTATCTTACGCTCGTGGTATGAAACTCTACGCGGTGCTGATGTTATCGGAACGTCATATTTCAACTTAAGTTTCAATTCAAAATTATGCTCTACTGGACGTATCTTTGCTCTATCGACGTAGTTTGTTTTAATAGTTTGCTTAACGGATTTAATTTGATCAGTGCTTAAACTTGGACTAATAGAAAAGTCTTCCTCGTTCTGAACGTTAATACTGTATATAAACATATCGGGATTTGAATAGTCGGAATCTAAAGGTTCGGAATCTGAATAGTCGGAACACACAGAAGCTGAATGATCTGAAGCTGAGGGCCTAACCTGCACTTCTACCTTATTGTTTTGATTTTCGGAAGCTGAAATGTACTTATTTTTGCAGAGATTACAACTTAAAATAGTCCTATCAGATTTCACCGAACTGAATATGCAGTGCAGAATTTTTTCAGAAATTTCCAAATTATATTTATTTGCCTTTAGTTCAATGTTTGGCGTTTCCATAGGTTCACAAAATTTTAATTTTAGGTTAAATCTTCTTAAAAAATCTCTTCCACATAAAATAGGATATGGAATGTAGTTATCTGGAACAACGTAACATAATATTCTGTGCGTAATACCAGAAAATGACATAAATATCCAGATCTTCCCAAATGTACATAACCGAAAACTTCCTAATCCTTTAAAGTTCGTTTCCTTCAAACTGTTTTCTCTTAATTGAAGTGGTAATGCGGAGTGACGTATTAAACTAATTGCGCTGCCCGTATCAAAAAGTGAAGTATACTGATTATAAATCCTATCTGGCCTATTTGTAGTGTCGCAAGAGATTCTTACCGTGTTTATTACTGCCACTTCGTTATCGTCTAACTCCTTGGTAGTTTCTTCCTGTCGGAATTGATCCGATAATGCCACCGCTGTATTCCCTGAAGGTGGTGGGGCCTTGCAGTTCTTGATAGAATGGCCCATGGATCCGCAACGGAAACAGGAGCCCTTCATCCTCTTGGGCTCTGTACACTCCTTGGCGATGTGTCCCACGCCCGAACAATTGTAACAACGTACAGGTCCTCCTTTGGCCGGAATGCTCTTGTGTCCCAAGAGTCCCGATGCGCTCCAACGTTTTTTACGCATCTCTTCGTAACGGTGTGACAGCTTCACAAGTTCGCCAATAGTTTTGGCCGGATAGAATATATCAATGTCAGCGGAATCATCCTTTAGCCCGTCGATCACGAACTGGACGGCTTGTTCTTCGTCGATCGGAGCTCGTTGCGCGATTTCTTGCATTTGCAGCACATAACCTAGAACTGACATCTTTCCCGGGCAATAAAACGTAGATTTGAGCGTGTTTATTACCTCTACCATTGAGGAAATCCTGCCGAATGTGTCCAGGAAATCTTTCTTAAAGGCAGCATACGACGTAGCCTTGTTTACTTTCAGAAACGATTCTGCGTCCGTGTCCGCCTTCATTAAGCGTCGCACGCACCTGAGCTTAAACGCATCCGTCCCCTTGCAGTTCAGCTCAAAATCTTCGATCCAAGCATGAGCGCTGTTTACTTTTCCTGCATACGGTTCCATAATCTGCATAATCTCCTTGAAGTTGGCCAATTCGCTCCCCTTGCGCAGTTCTTCCAGGGCTTGTTTCCTCTGGAGCAAACATATCTCTGCTTCTATCATAAGGCGTTCGGCTTCCAGCCTCTTAGCTTGTGCGTCTGGCGAAATTTCTGGAACGTTTGCTTTTATTTCCTTATTCTCGATTCTTTCATCAGGTAATTCCTCTACGCTAGCGCCATTTGCCATTGCCAGTTGCCGAAGCTGTCTGAATGTTGCAGCCTGATCAAACTCAATGTTATTTTCGATCAGCCACTCTGAAACCTCGTGTTTGTCCATATTCTGCCGAAAATACGACGCCACGCCGCAATCTAACTGTACCGAATATGTAGTGCTATCTCCCTTCTGCTACCGGAGTCTTATGTGCTGAATGTATGAGTGGTGAAAAAAATTCCTTTAAATTGTAGGCACGTTTCCTTTATCCCACTTCTGAAGTTGTGATGGGGTTCTTCCGATGAAATAAGGGGCAAGCACGCGGTTATATAAATAAATGCTTTATTTAATAGCGTGTTAGTTGGCTTCTTATTCTTTAAATACAATGTTCTTAATTTTTCACTCCTCGCTGTTCCTCCAAATTCTCACAATGCCGGTCCCGATCCCGGTATCGATCGCTGGTCCGCGATAGTCTATCGATAGTTCACATTATGTTACTCGATAGCTATTTGGGGTGCTCTCGTGCCATTAGGGCTATTCTTACAACTGTGTTAATACAAATGAAACTTAAACTACTTAACAGTATAATGCTTTATTCTGTCTCATATCTCCTAAGCTATAATTATCTGAAAAATTAACTTTTTGAAAGCTGGAAAATAATAAAGGGTTCCTCTTCCGAAACACAATACATCTGTATAGTTTTAGTGTTAAAAGTATAATGCTTTATTCTGTCTCATATCTCCTAAGCTATAATTATCTGGAAAATTAACTTTTTGAAAGCTCTGGAAATTTCTCTATTAGATGCGTATTTTCATTTTATCCAATGCGGACATATAATTTTTTGACTTTTGCAACCTCTCTTCGACTGAGTCCGTACTGGGCCACGACAAAGTCTTTAGCGTTGATGAATCCAGTAGCATTTCAGAGAATTGAAGATACAGTCGCGCGCACCCATACCAAGAAGCGTCAAGCGAAAATTGAATGGACATTTGTTTCTCATGCACCAACTTGGTATTGTATAGTTAATGCTAAAACAAAAGGGGTACCACTGATAAATCGTATGTTGACCAATCGTGCGATCAAAAAGACGCACTACCTAATCATGTGGATGCACGCTCCGTCAACAAAAACAGAAATTTTCCAAAAGCCTGGTGCATGGTGACAAATTGTATGTAGACCAATCGGATCAATCGAGCGATCAAAAACACGCACTACCCAATCATGTGGATGCACGCTCCGTCAACAAAAACATAAATTTGCCAAAAGCCTGGTGAATTTCAGACTCAGCTGCTCAAACCGATCGTGTTTTTGCCTCGCTCTCGAATTTTGCTCAACTCAAGAAATAGTTAACTTAATTATTCTAATTATGGTTATCCGATTTGCACACATCATTATACTGCATAATACTTTTGAACAACACTACTCGACAAAATCGAACTTTTTTTTTCCTCAAGGACCCAAACCGACTTTTTCTGATAGATATGGAGATTTAAAATTTTTTAAAGAATTATGTTTTTTTTTCTATGGCAGAACTTTTTTTTGAAAAATTTTTGAAGTCTGGTATTTTTTTTAAGCTTTTTTCAGAGGAAGCGCCTTTTTTTTCACATAACTCTAGTATCTTACGTCTGGTTGTAAAGAACTTTGCTATTTTGAAAAGATAATTAAAACCGCTAGAAGTTAATGCCAAACACTTTGTGATTTCAGCTTACCGTCTGGGAAATATAAAGCATTGAAATGCAAAAATGATGATTTTTGTGGGTATTTTTTACGAAATTTTGACTTTAAAAACTCAGGAAAAGTCGGTGCGTTAATTTGGCGTCGTTTAAGGTATCGCTCATTAAGATCTATGGAGACACTTTGGAGCTAAAATTCGTTAACCAAACCTAAAAAATGGAAAAAATGAACAAAAAATACCTTTTTGAAGGCGGCGGGCCCAACTGCCAATTGGGAACAAAGCAAACAAAAAAGGGTTGTACATTTGGTACCTGATCGCGATCCCAATTCCCAATGGGAATTGGGCTCGCAATTTTCCAAAAGGTATTTTTTGTTCATTTTTTCCATATTTTAGGTTTGGTTAACGAATTTTAGCTCCAAAGTCTCTCCATAGATTTTAATGAGCGATACTTGGAACGACGCCAAATTAATGCACCTATACACAAAAAAATAGAGGACACAGGATATAATTTTTTTTCGACTTTTCCTGAGTTTTTAAAGTCAAAATTTCGTAAAAAATACCGCACAAAAATCATCATTTTTGCATTTCAATGCAAAATGCTTCCCAGACGGTAAGCTGTAATCACAAAGTGTTTAGGCTTAACTTCTAGCGGTTTTAATTATCTTTTCAAAATAGCAAAGTTCTTTACAACCAGACGTAAGATACTAGAGTTATGTGAAAAAACAAGCGCTTCCTCTGAAAAAAGCTTTAACAAAAAATACTAGTTTTCAAAAATTCTTTAAAAACGAGAAGGAACGTGTGAGTCGCTTCTGGGGACGCGACTCTACTTATACCCGTACTCAGTCAGTATATACATTTTTGAGCATGATTTTTTAGAATTTTAGAAAAAAAAAAAATTTTACATTTTACATTTTTTTGCTACATCTGCTATCTACATCTACATATACAATGTCTATTCTACATCTAACATGTAGATTGTACATGTTCCATTCATATTCTACATCTCCTCCGCTAGGTGTTGCTCGCGCACTGAACGCGGCAGAGTGTGCGAGCGAGAAGAAAATGAGTTGTGGTGTCTTGAACGGGTGGGGGAAGGGAAGCAACTGAAAATTAATTTCTTCATTCTGGCTATAATTATGATCCGATCTAATTCAGATTCGGCAATCTGGTAGATATGGGCATTCTCTACGATACTGCGTTTTTAGTTTTATCGTATCTTTAAAACTTTGCCTGCCACAGATTTTCGTCTTTTGTGGGGGCGGAAGGGGGCGGGGCGAAATTTTGAAATACACTTGTAGCAGTGTGATATCACATGAGTCTGGAAACCAAATTTGGTTTCTCTAGCTCTTATAGTCTCTGAGATCCAGGCGCTCATCAAGACGGACGGACGGACAGACGGACATGGCTATATAGACTCGGCTATTGATGCTGATCAAGAATATATATACTTTATGGGGTCGGAAACGTTTCCTTCTCTGCGTTGCACACATCCACTTTTACCACAAATCTAATATACCCCTTAACTCTTTTTTGAGTACGGGTATAAAAAGTTCTGCCATAGAAAAAAAAAAATATATAATCAAACCATTTCTAAGCCCCAAATCTTTAAGAAAAAGTTCGTTTTGTTCCTTGAGGAAAAATCGTGTTGACTAGTGTAATCAGTGTTTTTGATTGATTTATAATCTTTAAAAAATTTCTGTGACAATCGAGCGTACAAGCCAAACTAAGGCGTAGCATTGTTTGTGTCTAAAACTAATTGATCTGTTGCTGTGGCTCATCGCTCTTCGGTGCTCACCGTTCTCCCGCATCATCCGTTGCATCCTCTACTCACCCTCTGGAAAGTATAAGAGCTGCACGCACTCTTGCTCTCACTTTCACCGAACATTGACTGCATTCTTCGTTTTTGACTAATATCTCGGCGTCTCTGCTTTATTGGAGTTCGCCGTTAGCTTTCGTCGCGCCGCTGGCCCGTCTTCCCTGTATATATATACATATATAGACATACATACATACATAGCTACTGCTGATCGTCGTGCTTGCTCTGCTGCCCAGTCTCTCATCTCGCTTGTGCTCTTACTGCGACTTTTTCTTATCTCTGCACCGGGATTCCACTGTTGTCGATAATGTCTATTAAATGCAGTGCAAAGAAATGCCAATTTGGTGGCACCATTACCGGCGATTCCTACCTCAGCTGCTGGCTTTGCGGTAATTTTGCTCATATAAAATGTGCTGGAGGCAGTCATTTTGGGCGTCCTTATATTTTTGACCTTTTGACCTTATATCCAAACGTATGTCTCTTTGCTGGTCCTATTTGGCTTGCCGGCAGAAATGCGCACCTTCATGAGACAAACCAGGAATGGTTTCCACGATGTGCGGAAACAATTCAATGCTCTCAATGAGAAGTTTTTTACCTTGGAATCGCAGTTTCAAGGCCTCGAATCACCAAGGAGGAAAATCCCGAACAATAGCTTGTTGCTGGCCATACCTAATGGAACACCTGCCTCTCACCTACAACTAACGGATTCATTTTTAACTCCAAGTGGTCAGCTACCACCGATGGAAGTCAATCCGCCGTCTGAGGCTCCAGCCTTTTTCACGCCTAATACCCTAATAACTGCCTCAAACATCCATGCTTCCGACAACGTAATTATGGATTCAGCTGCCAGTGATTTTGCCTTCCACAGTAGAATCCAGCATCTACCGTCTAATGATGGTCCCCCGGTTTCTGTGGTATCGGTAGCGGATGGATCCTCTAGTTCTACAGCTCCCGCACCGAGACTTTTAAGAGTAGCTCCACCAGCTCGCTTTTCTGGACTACCACTCAGGGCCGTGGTTTCTCGCAAAGCAATCTTTGTCTCTCGTCTCATGCCAGAAGCCACAACGGAAGATGTCAAACTTCATTTTTGCTCCTATCTCAAAGCACCTCCTGAGGACTTCATTATAACTAAATTTAATTTTACACATAAGCATATATTTCTTCGTTCAAAATTCTTCTCCCCGATGCACTTCTTTCCGAAGCCCTGAAACCGTCTGCATGGCCTGAGCATTCTATGTATTATGCGTTAATTTCTTCCAAGAGATTCTACCCAGAGTCCTAGAGTCACTGTTCCTAGAATTTAAAAAAACGAAGGAGCCATTTCTCCATCCAATATCAGAACGTACGCAGTCTTCTAGGTAAATTGACCAAAATACATACGGCCTCTTTTGATTTTGACGCTATCGCTATAACTGAAACCTGGTCTAACTCTTCCGTTTCCGATCATGAAATGTTTGTCCATAAATTCAATACCTATATAACGGATCGTCCACAATTTGCTGGTTCTGTTCTTATTGCAGTAAATACTGACTATTCGTCCAAACTGTTTCAATTTAGCAACACCCACGGTATAGAATTTATTGCAGTAAAAATCCGTGTTGGAGCGGCATTTATCTTTTTGACCTGTTCATATATTCCTTCTAGATCTGATCCCGTTGTTTATTTAAACCAACTGTCTGCCATACATGCTGTGGTTTCTGCTTAAGGTTGTGCTGATCAGATCATAGTAATGGGTGATTTTAACATACCATATCTTTCTTGGCAGCAGGATGAATCAAACAAGTTGCTACCTGGTAGTCAAAATGATTTTGTCGATGGTGTGAAGAGCTGTTAGTCAACAGAAGCGGTCCACTCTATGGGGGGCTGTTATACGCACGATAGGCCCCTAGCCATCGATAACAACAGAGGCGATACTTACTTAAGAAGTCGAAGCGAACAAGATAACACACGTTCAAGAAAACCTTATTTTCAATTAATTCAGTCTACATATATTGTTCAACTTATTATATCCAATAAACACTACTATACTACTCAAAAGCCATCCCTTCACAGTTCAGAAGTGGGATTAGTAGAGTTGTTAT